CCCGCCCCCCCCCCCCCCCCCGGGGGGGGGGCGCCGGGGGGAGCTGCCGGCGGGCGGCCCCTGAGGGAGCGGGGAGCCTCCCCTTCCCCACACGCCGCCCGGCCCTGCCCCGCGGGGTCCTGGGCCAGGCGCGGCTCCCACCCCTCTCGGGAGGTCGTCCCGCTGCCTTCGCCCGCCCTGAGGGGAAATGCGCAGCCGAGACCTGGCGGCGAGGTCCCGCAGCGCGCCCGGGATGGCGGCGGGAAGGAGAGAGGCGCGACAGGCCGGACGCTGAGGAGACTGAGGTACCTCCCGCTTCCCAGCGTGGACATCGCCCTCCGCGTCGGGCTGCTGGGGAAGGAGAGGCTTTAGGGGATCAGTGTCCTTTGTAGGCACAAAAATGGTGGGTTCGTGCCACAGGGACCATACGGGGACATACACCGTGCCAGATCTCCTTAACTCGGGCCCCGCTCGGATCCCGATGCCTCCTCTGGGAGCTGGGCGCTGTGAGGAAAAATCCCTGTGGCTGGCCCCAGCCTGGGCCCAGTTTGCTGTGCTGAGTCGATGAGGTGGTTTCCAATTTTAGTTCTCCAGATTAACTCGTAACTGGCATTTGTTTGTAGAGGAACAAGCGAACCGCAACTCTCCTTTAGATAGGATGCTTCCTTGGAAAGGGGGTGATGCCTGTCTCCAGTGCTGTTTTTTTTACTAACTTTTTCTCTGCAGAACTGCCCGTCTACATGTAGGATCTGGTGTTTCAACTAAATATTTGAGTGAAAAAATAACCCAAGTGCATTGGCAAGGCTGGCAGTAATCCCCCAGCTATCCTGAGTGAAAAACCACCCTGCTGCTGTACTGCCGTGGTGTCACGCAGAACCAACATGCAGCGTGTCACAGGCCCAGTGTTTCAAACAAGTGAAAAAGATACTAATTGCTTTCAGGTGGCATCGACCGCCACTTGTAAGATCCCTCCTCAGCAGCGTTGCCTAATATTATTAGTGCGCTAATATGCTTTTTCAGTCCTGGAGCAGTACACAACTTTGAGTCAGAAGGCATGCAGAGGTTATAGTATTCCCACATACGAATTTAGAAATACACTAATAAACAGAAATGTTTTCCTTTTATTTAATTAGAACAGTTTTTTTCCAGCATAAGCATTTTGTAAATGATCTGCAACTGAATGATTAGTAAAAGGAAATCACCAGAAAATGTAAAATTTAAATCTAGCTTAACTGAGTTGCATTAATAAAGCCTTAAACTTCTATAAAACCTTTGAACATGCTCTCGTTAATAAAGCAAGTGCATTAGATTAACATAAACCCTTCTGGAACCTGTTGCTATTTGTAACATTGTCCAGGCTGTTTAGTGTTTAAGGAATGATTTTAATGAGACTGTACATTCAGTGGAAATACTGGAAAGGGGAAAGTCAAACCAATAGGTGCGGATTGAGTTTCAGAGGAGCAGGGACACCCCCAGACCTTCAGCGGACAAAGCCTGTCCCAGCAGACGGGGATCAGGGCTGCGTTCGGCTGGAGAGAGGTTTGGTGGGAGCTCTTGGCGGGGCGGTGGCTGCAGAGGTTGGTTTGCCCGCCGCTGCCCTCGGGGTTCACGTGGG